TGTGTGTGTGTGTGTGTGTGTGTGTGTGTGTGTGTGTGTGTGTGTGTGTGTTTGTGTGTATGTGTGCCTTGTGTGTATGTATATGTGTTTGTGATATGACTGTGTGTGTGTGTGTGTGTGTGTGTGTGTGTGTGTGTGTGTTTGTGTGTATGTGTGCCTTGTGTGTATGTATATGTGTTTGTGATATGACTGTGTGTGTGTGAGTTTGTGTGTGTATGTGTGTTCGTGATTTTTTGTGTCTGTATTTGCATCTGTTCTTGCGCACGCTTGTGCACCTATAATAAGTGAAAGTTTCACGTGTGTTCTTATAATAATATTGTTATCCAAATACATCAAATGCCTTTTCCCATATCTCCTGAGCAGTACTCTCTCCCTTTAATCCCCCCCCCCCCAAAAAAAAAACCCCCATCCATTTTCCACATCCTCCACCCCTTCTCTTCCACACCACCACCAGCTACCCTCCCACACAATACATCACCCCAACCCTCTCTTAAACCTACCTACCCAGTCCCCCGTTTATTTTACAAAGAGTGGGAAAGGGAAAGGGGACAAAAAAACGGGGGTGGGGGGGTACATGGGTGTTGGTTTTCGGGAACAAGAACACGGCTTCACGTGCACAAATCACATCAGGTCAACGGTCATTTGACATCTTGATAGATTCACGCTCTGCTGAGCCTCCGCCTAACTCGCTCACACCCTCGCCCTAACCCCTTTTAGCCCTCGGATGAGTATTACTCAAGCGGAAAATAGGAATTGTGTTCTTCTTAAAATAGATTTGGTTTTCTTAATTTGTTTATGATGTAGTTCAGAAAGGAAAATCAACTGTGATATTATGCGTTAGCTCATTAATACTTAACTTTCTGAATATTAGTTGTGCAGTCTTTTTGTATCAATATTAGAGAGAAGTTCAAAACTAGAGTGGTTCAAACACCCGACGTATTCAAGCAATGATATGTCTTTCTCTTTAAAGAAAAAAAAATTATAATCAATAATAAGAACAGTTTGAAGAGGTTATGTGATGCTGTGCTTATAGTTATTTAGAAGTCCAACTTCTGCTAGTTTACATTAAGATAGAAGAACATAATTCAAACGATAATGATAAAAGAACAATTTCAATATATTTTCGATATGGGAATAAATTTCCTGTAAGCTTTTTTTTTGTTTTTCTTTTTCTCTGTTTTTGAT